ACACACACCTTTATCTCAGCACTGGAGAGGCAGAGGCAGGCAGATCTCCATGAGTTCAAGGCTAGTCTGGTTTGAATTCCAGGCCAATTAGGGCTATATAGCAAGACACTGTATAAAATAAAAATATTTTTTTTATTGTTACTGGAAACTTTGAAGGGTCTCTTTTTTTTGTTTTGTTTTGTTTTCTTTTTTTTTTTTTTTCAAGACAGGGTTTCCCTGTGGCTTTGGGGAGGCTGTCCTGGCACTAGCTCTTGTAGACCAGGCTGGGGTCGAACTCACAGAGATCCACCTGCCTCTGCCTCCCGAGTGCTGGGATTAAAGGCGTGCGCCACCACGCCCGGCTTGAAGGGTCTCTTTTAAGGAATCATATGCTAACATGGAAACTGGAGTTCTCTCTCAGGGTTCTTAGTCTCAATCAAGGACAAGTTTATTAGAGATCTGGGTTGTCTGAAGACCTCAGAGTGGGAATGCTGTAAATCTCACAGCTGTCTGGAAGGCAAAAACAGAGAAGAGGGAGAGGAAAACACCACCTTTGTGTAAGCAGCCAGAGAACAGGTAGGGGTGGTTAGAGACATCAGAGGAGAACACATGACCAACCAACCAACCCAAGTGTCCAGGAAAGCATGTCTGCATGTCTAGGCCAGTATCTGAAAGAAAAAGAGATAAAAAGGAAGTTATAGAATGTCATCTTTTTACCCACACTAAGAGGTAGATTCTATCCTTTTGACTAGTGAGAAATAGCTTTCCCTTAAAGGGCTTCACAAAGCCCAGATCAAGGAAACTGCAACATTGCCACCTCAGAAGAGGTAACCTTAAAATCATCTACAAGGAGGGCTGAAATCAGGGAATAGATAGACCCTTTCACAGTGAAAAGCTAGGGACTTGTATTTAAATCTGTTCAGTGTCAGGAATTAGTGTCTCAACTGGAGTTTTGGTCACATCCTATCTTTTACCCTCCATGTGGGAGTGGTTACTTTGAAAGAAATGAGAAAACAGAGCTCCCATCTAGCGTTCCTGGCCTGAGAACAAGGACATTCCCTATTGTGGGCCAAGGACAATAGTGGAACTATTCCCTGCCTAGCCCATCCCCATCTTCTGTTCTCTGTGTGTGGTGGGGGGGGGGTGGAGGTAGGGAGGGAAGGCAGGTATGCCATAATTTGTGGTTGCAGATCCCAGGACAACTTTGTGGTTTTGGTTCTCTTTCATTTTTATGTGACTTCCAGGATTCAGGCTGCCAGGCTCATGGAGCAAGCACTTTACCTACTTGCTGATCCATCCAGTTTCCCTCTTTATTATTTTGAGTGTCATTAAATTTCCCACACTAGAACTCTCCATCCTCCTACTTTTGGCCTCTCCCAGAGCTAGGATGGCAGGTCTATGCCACCAGGCCCCAGCTTCAACTCTGATCTTGCCAGACTTGGATTTCTATGAAATTTTCTAATGATTTGTATCATTTTTTTAAAGCCTTTTTATGTCCTAATTCCCCTTCTGTAAAATGAGGATAAAAAAAATAACCTAATCATTAAAGGAGTATGTTTCAAACCAGATGATTTATAGGATTAGTTCTGAGAACCCACTTGTTTGGTCACTGGTGGCTACAGTTCTTTTTTGTTTGAATTGTGGGGAGAGTTCTGTTAACCCAGTTGTTAGCTAGCAAACTGTAGCAGGGCTGGTTTTCTCCTTACTGGGACAAAGGTCAATGGGTTTGCAGCCGCAAGTATCAGGGGCAGTGTGAGATCTCAACGCCCCCCACACATGTCTTTACCTATAAAAACAGTAAAAATTCTAAGGACATATTGTAAATTTAGGAATCCATCAGTAAGCCCTTTAGTTGTTTTTTTTATTTTTCTTGTTTTTTCCAGACAGGGTTTCTCTGTGGCTTTGGCGCCTATCCTGGAACTAGCCCTATAGACCAGATTGGCCTTGACTCACAGAGATCCTCCTGCCTCTGCCTCCTGAGTGCTGGGATTAAAGGCGTGCACCACCAACGCCAGGTCAGTAAGCCCTTTAATTCTTATTTTCATCACCAGGATTAATGACCAGTGTCACAAACCCAATAAATGAGATACCACATAGCCATGCTTCACCCTAGGTTAAATGGTGGTAGGCAGATCTTCACCAGTGCTATGGAATAAATCCTTAGTATACCCCGAGATCTCTTAAATACTAATTTTATGTTGAACTGAAAACAAAAAGTAATAAAAATAATGAAAAAGAAAAACAAAACAAAACAAAAAACCCCAGACCCACAGCT